TTTATATATATATATATGTATATAGGTATATATATTAATTATAATTTATGATACATTTAAACAAGATTATTTTTCAATATTAAATTACTAGGATAGTAAATTTTGAAATTAATGTTTTAGGTGGTTTGCTCCAAACKGCACAAAGCTATCCTAGCTTATCGGCTAATAATACTTCTAATAATTCGTGTTCTATAACAACCATTGCAAATAGAACCTTTTGTGTTGGTGAAGCTTTAACTATGAGCTTAGCATCTACATCAAGTGATAGTGAACAAGTCAGTTTAGAAGTTAGTGTCTGTATATTGAATTATGGCTTATTTTATTTACTGACATCTTGTCTTTTATAGGATTTTTTAGACAGTGTTCGTGCTCCAGCCTTATTTGCAGAGCTTGAAGATGATGAAGAAATTGTTGAAGATGATGATATTCCTGATGATGATGAAAACGAAGATGAACAAGAATATGAAGAGGTAATGGTCTCCAGAAATCTACTAAGTATGGTAAGGAGTAAATGAGCTGATTCATTATCATATTATTGATTTTATTATATTTATATAGAAAAAATATCTAGTATATTTAATTTATATTAATATAACTTTTTTCTTTTTGTAGGAAGATGAAGCATTTGCTGCCCAACAGCATGCTGCCATTGAAAGTATTGTGGGTGCTGATAGATGTGGTAATCCATATAAAAGGCGCTCTTGGGATGATGATTATGTGCTTAGAAGAGAATTCACAGCATTAATACCAGCATTTGATCCTCGACCTGGGCGTACTAATGTCAATCAAACATCTGATTTAGAAGTTATCGCTCCACCTGATGATGAAAATGATGAAATTCCTGATGTTTTCGCTGAAAACTCAAGTATTACTAACAATCAAACATCATTACCAAGAATTAAGTTAACTCTAAAAGGACCTAATTTGCCAGGAGTAAGATATGCAACTTAATTTTTAAATTGTTAAATATTTATTTGTAATTTTATTTACAGATTAAAGATGTTGAAGTTGAACTTAAAGATTCTAATTGGACAATTTTTCATGCTGTTCAAAAGTTGGCTCAATTGGCAGACCTTGGTAGTCGCCAAGAAAAATCTAGACGAATTTGGGAACCTACTTATACGTGAGCAAAATATTTTAGTTTATACTCTGTTCGCTAAAAGRTTYTGGTCATTTCTGGAATAAGAATATATTTCTGATGCGAGTCAACTCTAATTTCTTGCTTCTATACAGGGCCAGCTCTAGCTTTTTCAGCACCCAGTGCAAGTATTATTTCGATTCCCTTCACCCTCTTTTTAAACATATAAACAGAAAATCATGTCTCCTTCTTATTTTGGCGCACCTGTGCCTTCAAAAATATTAATTGTATATTAAGCCAGCCCTGTCCGTATAAATCTCTTCCAAGTTCAACACATTTATGTTTGTCAACAGACAGATTTTAAGTCCATTTAAGTTATTACAATATATTATTTGATTATATTGCTAGCTTTTTAACTAGAGTCTGATTTATGACTTATCATTTACACAATTCAWTAATGAAAATTCATTTAAAATTTAGTGTAAAACCTACATTAAACTTCAAATTCATATAATTTTCTTCTTTTTTTTTATTGATAAACTCAAACTATTACTATTCTAGTAATATGATATGTCAGGCCTAGATCATATTAAGCTAACGCATTACATATATATTATACATATTATATTTTTAATAACCTAATAATCCAACCTTTGATTATAACTGTGTTGTATTATTATWAAAAAAATACTTATTTATAGAATCATATATGAAGAATTGACCAACAAAGATCAAAGACTCAGTGTGGGTCCTGATAATCAATGGGATTCTGATTTACCTATATTTTCAACAAGAACACAATTAAGTAATACAGGTTGTACTGTTGATCATGTACTTCAACTTTTAAGGCAGCTTCATAATCTTTCCATTAATCCAATGATCTCTTTACTTAAACCTTACACTGATGACTTTTTTGAAGGTAAATAGTTTTATGTTATAACTAATTATTTATAATATATTATTTTCAAAKCCGGGTAATGCAAGTGAAACTTCATCTGTATAATAAGATGGAAGGAAAGACAAATATAAATATTTAAATACAAGTTTTTCATTTTATTATTTCTACACATTCTAAAAATCTTTTGTATAATACTATAAATGTCTACAATTATTTTAATTTTCTTTCATRTTTTTGCTAATTTTAGCTAATTATATTTTTCCTAAGTTGACTGGTAGAAATAACAATACAAGAAGAGAGGGTTCTAAAAATTGTATGTTAAAATGAGGCAAAAAAACATTGCCTCTAGAGATAAATGTTAGATTTTGAATTACTATACTAAACGACAAAATKTTCACTTAAATAAATCTGTGATTTGTCCCAATTCATAACCAATTAATCTTTATCGCATATTTAGCATTCCTAGCTTATAATCAGGGCTCGAGACTTGTAACATTTGCATATTTTTTTGTAGTTTATGAAGAAAAGATAGCAGAGTAAGCAATAAATCCATTTCAGACAAAAATGAACTCAATACCAAAAGTTTTTAGTGCATATTTTTGCATATTCTAGWGGTTTTGCTATTTTTTCGACTATTTTGCTATTTATTGCTAATTAATGTAAAAATCAAAAACTCAGTCCTGCAAAAATACATATTTCGGCCACTCRTCAGTGATCAACAGTTTTGGGACATTATAAAACTCATTGTCGATTRAAAAAAATATTCCTAAAATATCCCAATGCAAGACAATATTGTGGTGTTTATCGTATCTTTTATCTTAATGTTGTTTCTGTTATCGACTTCGACCATACTTGCTTATATACCCAATAATTATAGGCTGTTCCGATCTACAACAACGTAATCGATTAGTATACGTCGACTTGATTG